GATCAAAAAATTACGTAGATCAAACTTTTGTGTGCTTAAAATTTGCTACAGTTGTAAACTTGTCCGATAAATTGATTACGGGCTAATCAACAATAATTACTTACCGGAGTAAAAGCAGCCAGCAATTGAGTCTCCTGATGAAATTTCTCTCTGCAGAACCATATAAAAGTTGGAAAAAATTAGAAGACAGGTACATTTCCGAAAATTAATTTCAAAATTCCAGTTGCATTACAAAGCACGATAGGGAAACTGCAAACTTAGATTGTAATGAGTTTTTTCGATGCTTTCATCAGGTTACAAAAAAAACTAACTTCTTCGTTCCAACTGCAACTAGAGATAATCTAAAACCAAAAACTTGGAACAGTAATAAAATCAAAATAGAGGACAAGCAAAGAAACTAAAGGGTTATGCAGTGGAATGAAAATAATAAAACAAAGTTAGCGAAACCAGAAATGCATTAAAAAAATTGATGGTAAAGAAAGGAAAAACAATTACAACAAAACATACATGAAAGTAATGCAAAACAAAAAACACAAAAACTTTTTTCAAAACTTGAAGAGCATGATTGGCTTAAAGCTTAAAGCATGTTGATCTAAGCTACGAAAAATCAAAAATATAATCAATTATTTTGCTAAAAAAGGAAACCAATTGGTTGAGAAAAATGAACCATCACAAAAACTATCAGAAACGATTTCTTCAACGTTCATGTCTTCCACAAAAGTGAAAGAGTTCTCTACGTTTTTCCTTGAACTCCAATAGTATACAGCTATGATTTTTTGGGTTGATTGCCTTTGTCGTAAAACAAATTAAATTAACAAGAAATGATGCTCTGACAGACCATGAGGAAATGTTTAGAATAAAGAGCTTTTCCCGGCTGTCGTAATTAGCTTTATTAGTATCAAATCTTAAAAGTGGAACAAGAAATAACGAGACAATTATAACGCAATAATTCTTTTACCAGTTTTCAGAAAACATTTTGAAAACTACTTCACAAAAGCATCAATGATTTGTTAGATAACGACGGTGTTCCGACTAAGAACCAAATTAGGTTCAGACGATAGATGCTTTCAAAAATTTACTGGAAGACATCGAAAATCAAAGATGCTTGTGTAAACTTTATGGAAGACATGCAAAATGATTGGGAACTGACTACCAATGTAAAACATGCAATTTTCATAGATCTCAACAAAGCGTTTGATACTGTTTCACATGGAACACTTCTACGAACATCTGAAAACTGCGGACTAAAAGGTCCCATGCTCACATTTACACGCTTATGATAGAGCAGTGAAACGAAAATAACAAAAAATAGACCGATAGAATAAGGATTTATCAAAAATAGGAAATTGATTGAGAATCAAAAAGCTAACTTTGAACCTTGAAAAAAAATTATCTTCACTATTGACAAGAAAAAAATCATAAGAATAGCAAACAAAAAACTAGGAATTGATGATAATAAGAAAGTCCTCTGTACGAAATTTTTTGGCATTCATATGGACTCAAATTCAGATTTAAAACTTCATATTGACTTTCTCATCAAAAAAAAAAACTTTTTTGGGTTGCTTTACCAATTGCGTGACGTACGTAAGAACAGCAGCACAACTAATTATAACCTAAGTCATACAAACTCAACTCAAATAGTATTTTTAAGAAAATGAAGATATCAGTCAGAAGCACAATTTAACGAAACCCACAAAAACATGCTTAGTGAAAGAATGGCATATATACGAGCTATTCAAAACAATAATTAAGCTTTTACGAAGAGATTTTGAAATAAAATTTCAATTTTCTGCTTAAATTATTGCAAAATAAAAACGTCAAGAATATCAAACCAACAATTAAATTCGCAAGCAAAACTTCGAAATAAATAGTTGACCGGATTGAAAAACCATTCATTTTGATTTTAAAAATTTTTGCAGATTTTGCTGATGCAGTCAGCAAACCTTATGATGGTCAATTGAAACTTTTTTTTCATGTTTTTAGCGATTTATACATCACAAACAATTAGAATTGATAGATGTTTTTTTTCTACAAGTGGCTTAGGGTTTGTACAACTTATAGTTGAAAATTCTTAAACCCTAGGGTGTATGAATTTCTGCTGCCTAATTAAGGCATCACCGGACTAGGCCTATTAGATTTTTTGATGTCCTTGCATACCAGAATTATGTAAACTGACAACTGTCTTTTGAATAATCTCTGATATGAAAAAAGGTATTATCATTATTAATCTTAATATTTTGGTTATTATTCTACAATTTACTCAGCAGTTTTTGTATGTTTTTGACGAAATGCATAAAGCGTTTAAAAAAGTTTAAGATTAAAAATTTGAGCCTAGGTTTGCAAAACAGCGAAAAAGAACCTTACAAAATCAGCTTCAAATTTAAGTATCTGAGAAACCTGTTCCATTGCCGGTTATATAGTGATTACAAAATTAACCGAATCCAATTCTGGCACAGCTATTTTGTAAACAATTCTAGCTTTCCCAGTACAATTCTACGTGATGAAAAATAAAAAAAATAAAATAGGGCCGTAACATTTTTGTTTCTAGTCTGTGAGAGCTATAAGAGGAAAATCTGCAGTTTTTAATTACGACTAACTGGAAAGTCTCCAAAACATACGGATCCATGTCTGTATTCCTCATTTCAAAGTTGTTATTGAAAACTCGAATTGTAAAACATCCCTCTTATTGTTAAGATACGGGTTTGTTGCCTGTTTATAGGTTCTGTGAACAATTTATTTGATTGATGGGCTCCCCCCCCACTTCACATAAGCATCATTTTTATGGTGCAACGAGGGGTTTTACAAGGTTTAACATAAAGACCAAGTAAGTTCGTCATGGCCTAATTAGCTCACATGCCAGTTTTTGTAACATTCGGATGATTCGAACAAAATTTAGCTGTTGAGGAAGGGGGGAAGGAAAATAAGCCGATTGATGTAATTTGGGCATCTATTTAAAATTAATTGAAACAAGCGATTTATTTTGTGGTTCAACTTATCTCTAGGCAATGAAGGCCTTGAAAAAAACGGCAACTAGGTTTAACAAAGACAAGTATGAAGACCAATTATGTTAACTATGCCCTAATTAAACCACATGCAAATTCTTGTTTCATTCGAAGAATTTTAACACCACTCATTTGCATAGCTTATACTGTTTACACGCGCGTAAATACTATGAATGGTTAATTATTCGATTTTAAAAAAAATTAATTTCGAGTTTCATTTTGAATCGATTTACTGAAATCTATCATGTTTAATATTCGTTTATTGCCCGACCACTTCACAAAGGGAGAAGGAATTATGGGCTAGCTTACGTTTTTAAAAGCAGTTCGACAACCTCATAGAAAGCGATATCATCTTAATGCCCTATTGATCAATTCGCATTCCAAGATTTTTTCTCAAAAAGTTTTCTCAGCAGTGGTCTTAATTAAACTTCCAGGCAATTTTAACCAAAATAGATGACACTAAACTCATCTTTTATACTCGAAACTTCCAAGTTATTTGCTCTTTTCCTCTTTCCCCCCACATTTGAATTCAAGTTTTAAAAACTAATTTGACGTCTTCATAATGCAATCAAATTTTGTATAGCTAACAAACCAACAGCTGCGAACAGATTTGGTCTACAAGTTTTACATCGTAATATCGGGCATTTAGCCGTTATAACACGTAAAACGACTATGAAAATAGAAAATTTGAAATGTGGGGCGGGGGGGGGGGGGGGCGGGGCAGTGGAAGAGCCAAGTTATTTCGTCTACAGAGACGCGAAGCGGAGCTTCGCAACACTTACGATATTATTTAAAAGTAGCATAGTATGCCAGCAGACAGAAATTATGACGAAATCCACCAGGACGAAAATTTTTTTTTTTGAAAGAATCTGCAAAAGTTCTCCATACATTTGTCTCAAATCATGTTCAGTTGAGGAAAACGATGCAAAAATACTATCACTATCATTAAACGTAATTAGCTTTCAAAATCACTTTTTTTCAGCTTCCGAATTTCAAGCCCGATCCCTCGTGAAACAATATATTTTGGCCCTTCAAACAATGTAAAAGGACTTTACTAAAACGATATGTTATAATCTGAAACCATTTACGCGAAAAAAAATTAAAGAAAAAAAATTAAACAAAACTCGAGTAGGTCAAGATAATCAGAATTGGACTTTTTTGAAGAACAAAAACTTTGAAATGTAAGCTGACAAAAAGTAGGCACATGATAGTCCGAATCTTAAATTTTCATTTAAATATTTTTAGTTTCGACGCAAATTGAAGAAAAATTAGGTCCGACCGGGACTCGTACCCAAGACTCAGTATTCCTAAAGCGAAGTCTTTAACTCTAGACTAAGCGAGAAAGGGCCAAAAAGATGTGAAGTTAGGCCATGAAAAATTCAATTACCCGCTCACATGTATACTATCTCTCACGGGTGAAATTATTAATTTTCATCAAATTATTATCATTATTTACCTAAAACAAGCTAATTTAGAAAGGTAAAAACTTAGATTTTCTTTGAAAAAATCCCTTATTTTTGTATGTTTTGAATTTGAATCAGCAAGCGGTTAATCATTTTTTGCGCGTCAAATGGTTTATCTTTTTTGCGATTCGCAGACAACAGTTTGTTTTTCGAGATCTATGTGAAGGCTGCTCTTGGTTCAGTTAGGCTGCCTAATTCAACTAGTTAAATCTGCATTCGCACCTAACGGTGAAGTAATAACTCACGTGCCATCGAATCAGTGTTTGAATGGTTTTTGACCTGTTAGTTGCCCCCTTAAAGTAGCTTCGATGTTCCCATTTCAAGGGAGGCTGTCAATGAGTAGCCTGTCAAAGCAGTGAACAATCTTTTAAAACTGCATCAATTTAGTGTTTGTAGGAGATTTAGCGGGTAGCATTACAATACCCAGGATAGATTGCGTTAGAATTTTTAAGTGAACAGGACTAACAGGAGGTTGTTTATTTCGCGTGACGATGGGCTAAAACAACGGCATTATTAAGAAGTCAATGAAAAGACCCCAACTGAAATAATAAATTAACATCCAGCGAAACTTCAATTATCAAATACAAATCAAACTGATTGCAAAATTTCACACTGCAGTACAAAACGATCAAAATATCGACATAAGTTTCAATTTAAGACTACAAAATGCAAAACTCATTTTTTCGGGCCATCGAAACCCAAACAAAGCATATTAAAACAGTTCAGCATTCGGCACTTGTAGATTTAAAGTGGTCTTCGTCAATCGTCGAATAAATATGACCTTCATCGGACAGAAAATCAATGGCCTTCTTCACATCATTATGGGATGCTGATGGTAAGACCGCTTTGATCTCACTGGTTGATATTCCCAGTTCGTTTTTATACGCAGTTATTATCTCATACACTTGCTTTTGAATACCTGACAGACCTTGATCGGGTATCGCGCCCATTCCACTGCCCGTATCCATCGGCGTGTGGTAAGTTGACGACGAATTGGCAGTGTACGAATAACTACCTCCCGCCGTAGCCACGCCTCCCAAATGTCGTTTCTGAATGGCCAAATGAGCATGCATCGTTTCAATAAGATGCAACGTCATTTCGTTCATATCCTGAAGGCGTTCGATTTTAAACGAGACAATGTTTCGCACGCCTTTGAACGAGCGGACTGATCCGAATACTCGCACGTAGTCGTTCTCTCGGATTCCGAGATTGTCGAGATCGTCTTCGTTCGGGTCTACCCACTGTTTGATCTCAATCGGAGGCGCCGTGTAGTCGTCGATGACGTAAGTTATGTTCGTATTCGCAACCTGAAACCAAGACATGAGTTATTTGAAGCAAAAAATAATCATAAATACCGTAGCAAAAATATCTGAAGTTGGATAGCCGCGAAGAGCCCATCAGAGAATATGCTCTTGTTTTGCTTTCCTTCGAATATACAAATGGAAAATTGTAAGAATAATTTATATTGAAGATAATGTTTTTCTTGTCTGTTCTCAAATTCCAGAAATGAAAAATTGGAAGGCAACTTATTTCTTGGGCTCAAAAATAAGTGAAAATACAGGAGTTTGAGCTGTTGGTTGACCAGGAGCTGTCGATGGGAATGTCAAAAATTAAAAAACTTTCTTTTCTTTACGTTTAGATTTTAAAAATAAAAATCATTTAATTAGTTGTTTTCTTTAAGGTTAATTGAATAGGGTATGCTCTCAGTGAAAATGAAAACTCACTTTGTCAATCTCTAATTTAAATGTCCTTTAAATTACATTTTTTACACAGGCGAAGCTTCGCTTCGCAAACACTTGCGAGAACACGACAAAAAGCAGCTCTATAAAGTGCAATACAAAAATTTAAACTAAGCCTCGAATTAGTAAAAAAAAAACGGCTAAGTCTAAAAATCAAACCTTCGACCTAGAGTTTAAGAGTCTCATACACTAACCACTCAGCCACAGACGCTCATGATCGCAATTGTAAAAAGTAATTGTTGATTTGTCTAATGCCATATGATGTGTAGTCTCATTTTGAACACTAACAAACGCATTTTCTCCTAATACGTCTGATATAAATTTCATGCTTAAATTTCAGGCTGAACATCTTTGATATCCCTCCAAACCCCCCCCCATAGAGCGAATCGCATTCGAGGGTATTTTGACTGGGCTGATTAAGCAGTGCGCAGAAGAACTGAATGGATGTCATCTTCTTCACAAGTTAATTCATTAAGTTAATTACAAGTTTAATCTTCAAAAATTAATTTGAACCGTGAGCTCGAATTGGCGTTATAGTAAGTGAAACTTGCCTCTATCTTGCGCACAATTCCACAGACGCATACAGTGTGAAGTTCCACATCATTCACTACTAGTCCCCCCGCCTGAGCGGTGTCGGCTCCCCCTGGGGCGGCCATCAGCACGTGACTCACCGCACAGGGAATCAGAGATGTGCTGGTTCCTTTCTTGGCCCCTGATTGGTTGTTTGAAGCAGAGGCGTTGTCTGACTGGATGAATCCACCGCCTCCAGTTCCGTCATAGTCGCCCCACATGATAAATCAAAGATATCTGAAAATTTGTTTTCACAACTGCAGTTTTGCAAAATTTTCAACACTATCAGGGGCGGATTTAGGGGAGAGGGGGAGGGGTATGGCGGACGCTGCCCCCTCTTTATGGATTCTAACCGCTCTCAAACCAAAGGTCCTCCTTTGCAATTATTTTATTAAATCCATTTTCGACCGACCAATTTTGAATAGGAGCTCGCGCTGAAAAACTGGAGCGCGTGCCCCAAAACAGCTTTTTTGCCAATATTTGAAAATCTTTCCCTCCTCAAGAAAATCCTAGATACGTCCCGCGAACACTTCGGGGGCACTTCCTTAGACTTCGGCGACAAAAAAAACACGATATTTATTTTAAATTGGAACAAATAACATGAGAGAAAACAACACTAAGTTTAATACAGAATAATTTAAAGAACAAGAATTTAGTAAATTCTACAGATCAGTTTTAGGGGAAAACAAAATTGCACCGGTTGCAAATTTTTCATGATTGACAGGAGCATCTTAAATTGAGCGGACATATATGCTGGTTTCCTAAGGTCGCAGAAAGATTTCATCCAGCTTATAATTCCCAAATGAACACATATAATTGCCTGAAACCTTCTGTTGGACAGACATTTCTGTAAAACTCTAGCCGATATTGCTTGTCGAGCTATATCAGATAATCACCTTCCTTTGGCCTGACTTTTGAGCTGCTCGTATGTCTGGTTTTTAATCCATTCTTTCGGATGCGGACGGTAGACACCCTACATTAAACAAGAGTTAGCGGTTGCAGTGCGAATAGCATAAATATTTACACGCCATCGAGTTTTCACTTTTTGTAACTTTTCAATCTGACCTCCCAAAACATGGACAAGAATTTTATGAAACTTTCTTTATTTTCCTACTTAATGAAATAATCTTGCAAAGAAAAACCCGTAAAACTTTTCGTCGGATTTTAATTTTAACAAGCAGCTGACCAAATTCTTAATCTCAACTGAATTACATTTCATTTGTATTTCAATAGAGTGGCCGAAAAAAAATAGCTTTCGATTTCCTTGTTCAAACTAGAGAAAATAGACTTCAGAAAAATTTGAGGTAAGATCGATTCGAGGAAGAAGAAAAAAGATGGTCTCACCTGGCCCTTGACCATAACTAAACAGCACAGATCGGGCAGAGAGTCTATGAACTCAAACAGCTCTGCGATGTCATATGTGATTGTCGGCTCCTCCGGATGTGTTCTCTTTAGATGCTCCTCGAACATCTTGCAGATTCCTTCTAGTGCCTCTTGGACGCTTTCGTAATCTGCGAATGTCTTCGACTCAGGTCTCTTCAGGGGTTGAACGAGGAGGATGGTATGTGCTTTTTCAGAAGCGGAAACCATTTCTAACCTGAAAATGTCAGTTTTGCTACAGATTTGTACACAGAGCCAAAACACAGTTAATACCTACTGATAGCTCCTCTGCGATTCGCAAGAACCACATTATTATTATTTTTAGAGATTTGGGAGAGTTTGGAAACTCAATTTGGTCGACCTAAAAAAAGGTCGACAAAATTTTAGAATTTTGTTTTGAAAATCCACCTCCCCTCGAGAAAATCCTAGATCCACCCCTGCACAGAGGCGAAGCTGTCAATTGCAAAGACAAGATGGCTCGTTTTATCCACCCCATCTGCGAGATTTTACAAATATTTTTTGTTCACATCATAGTTCGATTGTTACACTAAGATTCGGGACTAATTAGGCTATGTCAAACACATTTGGTCTTCATACTTTCAATCCCTCCTTACACAAAAAAAAGATGCTTATGAGACAAGGGGTGGGGTTTGGATAAACAACAGCTTACAAGTGATAAAACGGCACAAAATTGCTCTAAAAAGTTGAAAAAAGGAAATAGGGCAAAACGCTAAGAAAAAATGCTTTAACTTTTACTTTGTGCCGGCGTTTAAATTGGTTACATTTCGAACCCGATTCCATTAAGTCATTTCATTCAAATGGATTGCTAATAGACGCAAACTAAATCAATTTTCATTATGTTGAGTCCAAATTGATGGTTAAAAACATTTTCATTAACTACCAGATAAACGCTTTCAAGGAGACGTGAACCGGTGATTTTCACCGAAAGTTATCCATGGGACAATAAAAATAGGAGAAAAATCTTTGAAACCTAAACCATTTAAATATGACTCGTTTAAAAAACTTCTGCCATATTTTCTACGCGAAGGTACCAAAAACGGCAAAAACAACTCAAAAATAATGTACACGAAACAATGAAAAAAAAGTAAATATCAGCCTTGGAAAACTATGGACTGGAATTCAACCACCTCCAATCAAGAGATTACGAGTCTCGCCATGGTCGCTTGAACACTTGCAAACACTAGCCACGATTAAAGCCGACAGAACAGATGGCATTAAATTTCCCATACTATGCAGCAAAAAGGCAATTAAATGGGCTTTTTTATTTGCACTGAAAAACTTAAATTGGAAAACAAGCGAAGGCAATCGCTTTTGCTTTTGCAGAAAAAGAAAGCTTATAAAATGGGTAGTAGGTTTAATTGACTACTGTTATCTATGCAAAAGTAAAAGTAAAAACACAAAAAATTCAAATTTTCTCGGCAGTGAGAAAACTGGGTCGTTTTTATAGCAATCAAATTTCGACTAAAAAAACTTTTCATATATCACTGAAGCGCATCTTAAGTTTCGGATTTTAGAAGTAAAAAAACTATTCGAACTAAGTTCTTCCTCGCTCTCAGTGGTTAACTTCGTTCATATACTCCTGTTAATGCTTAGAATATTATTTTTACATATTTTGCCAGTCGCTCTCAATTAAACAAAAACAAAACATTTTCATCTCTCAGAAATCTTTTCGGAAATCTCTCCAAAAATTCTAGAGAAAATCCTGTGAGCTTTCCAACGAAAACGCTCAAGTTTGCTGCATTCTGATAGATCCAAAATTTCATCCACTTTATCGACTTTCCCACAGATGTAAACTAAAGCCAAAAAGTTCCCAATTGATTTAACGCTAAACCAACAATTATCGCACCACTAAATCATGATCTGCAAAGCTCCAACTTTGGGTATAAAAATTATCAAACAGATATTTGGAATACAGATCAATTATTATTCGCGGCACTTTAAACAGGTAAAGCTGTATTTTTATAACTTTTTGTATTGCGCATAGCTTGAAAAGAAATTTTTAATTTCAACAATCAAATCACTCTTAAAAATTTCTCAATGTATATTTTTTTCATGTGTTTTATGATCATCGAATTCAAACAGATGTCGAAAAATCGGATTGAAATCCTCCAAATTAATCACAAATTGATTTTTTTGGGCCTCAGGAATAGATCCAAAAACAGTCTTACGTCATCGCGGCTGCCTAATTTAAGGCTTTCGAAAACACCATTTTGATACTTTCCTCAACTTTCTACCGGTGGTGGTTTATAATTCTCCAAATAGCGAGTTTGAACCCTTGCAACTTTTCTCGGTTCTCGTTCAAAAGACTCTGGACAAATCATTTCGCAGTAGCTCAGTGGTAACATAGGTGCTCTCGCACAATCACTTGAGCCGGTCAGAACTTTATCACTAATTGTGTACACAACACCTAGTTCATTTTCAGCAGTTGTCAAGGCGTAGCTGTACGAATCGCCGAGTGATAAAACTTTGGCTAGAACAATGTCCCCTGGTTTGTAACATTTCGAAACTTCCACCCTATCTTTATTAGTCGCTCTGATATCTTCTTTCTTGATGAATCCATGATAGGGTGACCCACTTAAAGCAGGACTTTTAGGCAGGAAACTTCCTTCAATCCCGATTATGTCACACTTACATAAGCGACTGTTAGTTGATGTGATTCGACATACCACAACTTGGCCTATTTCGGGAACCAAAGTTCTTATTGTCTTTTTCGAAGGTATAACTTGAATTAAAGGCGGTAATGTTTCGCCATCAGTTGATTCTTTTTGTTCTACTATACTCTGAACACCAGTTAGTGATGCGTATATTGCACCGTCACGTTGAAACGTTCCTTCACCTGGTTCGCCTTCGGAAACAGAGCAGATTTTTTCACCCGGTACTCGCAGAATTTTACCCAGCTCGAGCGAGTTATTTTTAGTTTTACTCGTCTTCATAACAATGATGTCCAATCTGAAACAAACCCTAATGTTAAGTAAAAACCTTAACTTTGAAATATTAGGAAGCAAAATGAATTTTCTCCTTGAGTTAACACTAGAATAGATGTTGTTAGGCGACTCTGATTGGACGAACCATAAATCATTGTTCTTTGCTCAGGTGCTAACTAGCAATTCCTTGCAAACTAAAGGCTTTGGGATCGATTCCCAGTATGTAACACTTTAAATAAGTGGAGCCAAATACTGCGCGAACCCGAAACACAAAAAGGAAAAATTAAATCTATTGAAAATATTCTTCTCAAAATAGACAATCAAACTAGGTAGAAAAATATCTAAGGCAAAATGTACAAAAAGGCACTAAACATTAGCTCCTCATTCATCATTATTTACATTATTCATATTGACCGCACTATTTGACGCTTTTCTCAATAATTTGCGTTCTTTGGCCTTGACTAACAGTTCACTGTAATACCCGTTGTAATCCAGTCTAGATATTACATTAATCATTGACAACTCTCCTTCGCGTTTCTCATAGTAATTAAGTCTATCTAAAAATTGGTTGAACAGTTTATTGAAGTTTTTATTGAACGTGTTAATCACGTGATCAATATTCGGTCCTTTCGTCAAATCAGCAGCCGCTTTTTTGTCGTCGCGTGCTCGGTTCGCCGCATTCGTCTGAGCGTCGCCCGTTGATGTTCCGTGGAGCAGAGTTGCGGCCGCATCCTTCTGCAACTTTGCACTCCTTGTCAGTCGACGAATAGCGTTGGCAAAGTTAACACACACAACCAGCAGTTTGCTCACGAAAGACAGAAGGTCAGGAGTTGTCAGCATACAGTCCTAAAATAAACATACCTTTTCTCCTTCATCTCAATTCGGGTTTTCCCACCATAACTCAACTTGCAACTTCAGGGTATCTTTTCTGATGAAACGATACAAAAAAAGAGTCACAAAAAATACTTAAATGCTTTTCGAATGAATCATCAGTTCACTGAACTCAACTTGATGGCTTTCTAGAACTCAATTCATAGAATGACAATTCAATTTTTCCCGGAAATGTTATTTTTTCAGTTTCATACATATTGAAAATACACAAGGTCCGACCGTGACACAAACCCAAGACCTATGGGTACAAAGGCAAACACAATACCTCTAAGCCAAGTGGGAATGAACCTTAAAGTTGTTAAGATTCCATAATAAAGCAAAAAAGAAAAGTAAGATTTGTAACAAAAGTTGTTTACGGGAAAAAGGCTGGTTCCCGATTACAAGACACATGCTCTCTCAAGTATGAAAATGAGTCAATGGCATGGAAACGCCAATTAAATCTTGTACTAGCGCACGATCTGCACCTAAGGTGCTTCAAATAGATCGTTGAACGTAAAAAGAGCTTCCTTAAAGAAAAACAGCGATATTTAATGTGACCGTGAAAATAAACTGGGCTCATCTGTTGTACCTGACAGGACCCCGCCGTAGGTTTAAGAATTTCAAGTTCTGTTGGTTTTTTTATATCTAAGTTTTTTGAAAACCATTGAAACAATCATGAAAACCACCATACCTCGAAAACCAAAAAAAAAATGATCAGTCATATTTGGAGGCCAGATTTTCAACTACTGATTCTACTCTGACAGCACTTTACCATAGGGTTAGGAATTTCAACTTGTTAGTTAGTTGAAAAAATTGAAAAAAGCATAAAAAACGCCATATTTTGGAAAACAAAAAGATTTCAGAGGTCAAAATTGGATAGAAAAACTGCAACCCCTGAGTGTACCCTGATAGCACCCCACCATAGGTGGAGAATTTCAAGTTCGGTTAATTTTTTTATATCAAAGTTTTTTGAAAAAAATAATACATAAAAAAGCCATATCACGAAAACCAAAAATATTTGAGCAGTCAAATTTGAACGCCCGATTTGCAACAACTGAGTTTATCCTGACAGCACCCCACTATAGGGTTGAGGATTTCAAGTTCGATTAGTTTATTTTACTTCTAACTTTGAAAAATATGAAAAAAAAACATACAAAACGCCATATCTCGAAAACCAAAAACATTTGAGCAGTCATACTTGAAGCTGACGCTATATTTGCAAGCTATGAGTGTACCCTGATAGCACCTCACTATGGCGTTGAGGATTTCAAGTTCGATTAGTTTATTTTATTTCTAACTTTTTTTTGAAAAATATGAAAAAAATCATACAAAACGCCATATCTCGAAAACCAAAAAGACCCCACTATAGGGTTGAGAAATTCAAATTTAATTAAATAAACGGAAACAAAAATTTGATATAAGAAAAAATGTATAGTTGAAGAATTCGCGCTTGAGTATGCATTTCAAGCCTTGCAATGTTTTGGCCTTTTAAAAGGCTAACATAGGGACTTCTTAAGCATATGCCAATTGAAATTTCTTAAGCGTTACAATATACGATGTAAGTAAGCGTGCATAAACTCTTTTGTGAAATTGCAAAAAAAAACAATACTTTGAAAAATCATGTGTCAAGTGAAACGCCAATTAAATAATGTATATATGATCAATATAGAATCAATATATGATTAAAAACTTTACCTTCAAGCAGTGGTCCAGAAACTCCGAATGTGTTCTCAGGAGCAACTCAACATCCGAAATATCCACCAGAACCTTCTGTAACTTATCCCAGTGCGGTTCAATCACATCGAACATGATGTATATTTCCAAGTTCTTCACAAAACCCATCATTTTGTCTCTTAACAAAAACATTTTGGCGTGCCATTTTGTGTAGCCAGATCCATCGCTGGCAATACAAGCTTTATTGTCCACCCATACCGAGCAAAGAAGCCTTTCCACATTTTTGATGTAGAATATATGCCGAAACAGCATCTGATATCTAGCTACAGCTTTTTGATTAATCACCAAATTAACCGGCCACTTAACGTCAAAGGTAATCGAGAACGCTTCCAGACCACTAAGGTTAAGCTCAGTTGCGTTGGATGCCATACTTTGACTTTCATGGTCTGTTTCTATCGACAGAATCTGATGCAACTGAGTTACGTAATCATAAGGCAGCAGAACTGTTTTCACGTCGTCTTTGTACGCGTCCGAATTCGCAGAGCTGGTTCGCATTGACAATTCTAACATGTTGGCGAGTTTAGCTGGCACAATATCTGATACAGACTTCTTCAGTTCTGATGCTGCCATTGTCATGAACTGTAGAAAAAAATCGCCTTGTCCCATGAGAAAATACTGCTTGGCTGATGTGAGTCTCGATTTCAGACCTTCCTTTTCAATCAGAAGATCCAGCAACAATTTACTAGCGAATTTGTAAGCTTCCTCTAGAATATCCCTATAATACTTTATTTGCTTGGTGTACAGAATTTCTTTTGCTTTTGGAAAAGCAAACTGCTGTCCGTACAACCTAACTACGTTCAGATACTTTCCAGTATTTAAAATTAAATCTCGCAGGTCGTCTAAGAACAGAGGCGTATTTTTCGGTACTTGGACGTAATATTTATCCCAATAATCAACAGTTAGGCTTTCCTTGGCACCGTATTTGACCGCGTCTCCATCTAGAGTACTTCCATGTTTCTGTTCAACCATGAAATCGAAGAAAGGGTCGCTTATTTGACCTTTGTAGATCCAATCCTGAAGAATGTCGAAAAACGGTCTAGATGCTGCTGAGGCTAGGTAGTTGCACAGTTCTTGAGTTTTGACGTCTTTGATGGAATTGATTACGTAACTATGTAGCACTGTGAGCACTTCACCGCCAGTATAGCCAGCTACAACAGCAAAAAAGTTTCGACTTACAAAGTTTGAAATTTACAAATAATTTTAAACTGTTTCGAAATAAACAAGGATGGCCGGTTACTGTGCAAGTAGCACAGAATGTCCCGACTATAATTTTTTTAAATTAGTGTCGTTTATTCTGCTAGGTATGATCAAAGGAAAAATCAGGAAAAATAAGAAATTAGGCTGAACGAAAAATTAGAGATTAGGCATATTCGACAGTCATAGTAAGATAAGCAAATTGGACAACATTTTTTTGTACAAAAATGACGAACAAAAAATTTTTTTTGCAGTTTTTTGAATTGTTGAAGGTTTTCATTCCAAAAATGAGGCGCTAAAAACAAGCTAACTTTACTCTAGTAACTAAGTTTTCGCGGCTTAAATTTAGCGTAGATAAGCTATGGTACGTCTGCTTGCTCGATGTTAGATTAAAATCAATTTTAACCTGTTTTTCTCGATACTGAACAACTTTTTGAAAGTTTATTTTTATGTTCGAATCAATTTAATGATTATTTCCATAAAATAAGGATAAACCATGGATATCCGGTTACTGTGCAAGCAGATTCTTACTTTTATTAATATCGGAAACAATGCTCGCAATAATCTGAATGGTCTGCATTGTCGGTTGGACCAGATGCCACAGCCGCTGCAACTGAAGCTGACCCTGGTTCTTCTGCCTTTCCACTTGAGCGATCAGAATCAAATACTCCTTCATTAGAGACCTAATCACAGCCAGATATGGCAGAAATCTGCGGCGCACAATCCCATATTATTCGAGCATCGCGGAAACACTGCACAGTTTCTGTTATTTAAGTAAAGAGAAGAGTTCCTTATAGAAAAACAGACCGATTTTTTAAAGAAATTTAGGTGTATGTGATTTGTTTGTCCCCACCCCCCCCCCCCCCAAAAAAAAAAAATCCGACGAACAATATATCGAAAACTTGGAGAAACGAAATGAAAAAAAACCCTGATGTTCACAAAAATAAAATTGGCGTATGTTTTGCACAAATTGCAGTATTTTCTGGAGCAAAATTAAATTTTCTGCAGATAGCAGCGCAGATATAAATTCTACCACTGACTGCATCGCAGACTTCGGGTAATTTCAGTCCACAGATTTTTGCTATACCTGATCGCCGCACAGAGAGCGTGGTTGACTTGACCAAATTCGAACGCACTTTTCTCTTCCATGAATCGCATGATGGTCGAGTAGTTTACAAAAATAGGCAGAAACCGTTGGACGAAAGTGACCAGACTAGGATCCAGGGAGTTGTCAATGACGAATTCTCGCTTGTCCAACTCAGACGCAAGTTCTTTCGACTTGATATATTTGCCACTAAAATGAGAATCAAATAACATTCGTATGCTAAAATACTCTCTTAGACTGCAAAGCCTTGAGAAAATTTGAATATAAAAATGCGCCCAGAAATATTGGTAAATGAAATCGATATAGAACAAAAAAAAACTTTCAAACTGAATCGCATCAAAGTTTACCTGGTGTTAAGATTTCGCAGCAGAATCTCATTTTCAATTCTAACTATTCAAGCTATTGAATTTGAAATTCGATATGAACTTCGGAAAATGTTTTTGTTTTCTTGTATTTTGTTTTTCTTACTAGAAGAAAACTTTTATTTTGCTTACCTGATCCCGCTCATGAGGCAAATCAAGTCGTTGCAAACGAGTGCCTCTTGATGACTAAGAGCCAGTGACCCTATTTCGGGCTCGTTCCTACTCGGGGAATCATAATTCACGACTTGTGCCCTTGACATCGGCACAAAATCACGACTAATTAGACCTTGTTCATAACACCACGCTGGAAGGGAAGGCACGTTTGAATTGCGTTTCACCAGAGCCGATTTTAGCTTATGTCGTTTCGACTCTCCTGAATTGAAACTGCCAGAAGCCGACAAGACTTTGTTCACATCTTTATCACGCAGTAGATTCTCTCGGATACTCGCTATTTCCTTGTCCGTCATTTTAATTCGAGTTTGCAGCAGAGATCCATCCGAATTTGAGTTTAACGATCTGGCCAAGTCTAGATGAATGTTCAAATTGAACCTCGGAGCCAGTTTTTCGGGCATTCCTTTCTTCGAGACAACTAGACTCAAGATCTGAATCAGAGGGTCCAATCCCCTAACACTGCGAGCCTGAAACAACACTCTTTTTTGTTTAGCAAACTGACAGACAAATTATAGTAGCCTTGATTTTTTAATCGGTAAAAAAATAGTTTGAAGTATCAGGATGTTTAACGATCTGTTTACAGGGCGCCGGACATAACGCCGACAAAACTTCAAGCCGAATCGTAAAATTAGGGACTTCAAGTCAAAAATTTTCTAATTAAGTCATGAAATATGATCAATTTGAAAACTTTTTTCAAGAACTCTCAATTACGTGATCTTTCTTCAGTAGTTATTGGCGTTTTCAAAAAATTTAGGCCTCCAAATGAAAGTTGAAAAAATAAAACACGGTTGAAGGCAATTTTCTTGTTTATAATTTATGCATTTCAAAAACCGGCTGATATTATTAACGGATGCCAATCCTAAGTTAATCATTGTCAGCGAATAACGCTTATTATGGACTAAACTTGCCTAAATTCTTGAAAAGCAACATTTTTACAGATGAAAAAATAGTGATTTGAGGTGCTTGTAAATTTTAAATTTCGGCCTGAAGTCACTTTGGCTTGAAGTCCCGTCGGCTTCATATCCTAGACCCCTGTTTACAAAGTGTAACGAGTTGAAAAATAAATTTGGGCATCAAGTTTTCAATTCAATTTGCCAATCAATTCGGAATGCTCATTTGAACGCGTTCAGCATCATTGATAAATTGAGTTATGACTGGAGTGTATAACTCATAGAGTAATTTCGGATAGGGTACACCGTCTGCTCGTCACGCTATCTTATTTTCGGCCGGATAGATTCGTGCAACTTCTTAGTCTAATAGCGATCCTAATCTTACTCTTATACTATCTAGTCTCAGGTTGTTTAACTAGTCTCTGCTAGGCTCAATAGATCTAGGGTATACTGGTTTATTGCGGCTGCTGAAGTGCTCGGGAGAGTCCAACTAATTTCTAAGTTAAATTCAAATCTCTCTGGTGCTGAAATTACAAGTAACTTCAGCACTTACAAATAAGTGGGTTGTTAGTTAGATGGATCATGATTGGTTAATATTAAATACTTTACATTGGTAAAATATCTAATTTATCCAATCATAAAATGTAGTTTAGATCAGGTTCCACCCATCCGGGTTTTACAGAGTTTTTTAGAATAGTTCTTCTGCAATTTGAAGGATGGATGATGGACGTTGGTTTTTGGCGAACATCATTTTCTTCCGTTTCCTCTTTGTTAAAGAAGTTCCAGGAAGCTGGAGTTAGAGACATAAGACGTTGTGTCTTCTAGTGACAACGACTAAGTCTTTGCAACAAACTCAAATCTGATTTCAGAATGGTTGGCTATGTCAGGTTTTTCTGTTCTGCGTGGAGAACTTCTTTTGTGTCTGATCTAGTTTGGGAATGGCGTGGAGATTGTGCGTGGAGGGGATGCCTGGTTACTCGGATCTGTACGTATACTTGAACATCGAGGTGGTCATTGGTCTAGTTCAATGAAGTCCTTTTCTGCGAAGTCAAGTCGTACTCTAAATCCTTTGAGTTGTGATTGTGAGTGGCATATCGATTGTGGTTGGTCATTCTCTCTCGAGTGTAGTGGGGTCGTTTTGTCTTTAGATGTTCGTCCTTGGTGTTGTATTCTGATCTATGTATTGCATAATGTAATTTACATTTTATAAAACATTTATTAGTTTAATATTTTTTAATTATGATTTTAGTTAGTTGTTTTCACAAAAGCTTTTTGTTTTAGTTCGGTTATTTTGAAGAGTTACTCACCCTTGAGTAGCTCTTATTAAAAATAGAGGTGTGGTCACAAAGCGTGGATGTAGCGCGGTGGGTTAGGCCGGCTATAGAGCATGCTCAGGACGTCCTTCCTGGTGGGTTAGGCCAGGAGTGGGAGTATAATTTCATGCGGTTTTTGTGAGGGGTCCTGTTATGTGACAACGTTTTATGTTGGGTTTGTTGTGGTTTTTCTTATGTCTTGTTGGTTATGTCCTTTTTTCAAAAAGCAAATTGTTCGTGGTATGGGTTTGTCTTTCGACTTTTTTGTGTTTTATTATTTCTTTCTTAGACTTTATAATAGTCTTCAAAAGAATAAATTATCCAGTTTTAAACTGGGTTAATCCGGTTTGGGTACCGTTGGTTTCCTTTTCTTAGTCATGCTGTTATTCTATGATTTGTGGTATTTAGTAAGCTGCGTTGGTTAGTTTTGTTTAGTATATGATTCCTTTCCAACCGGGTTAAAGGAAAGTTTGAAACATGTTATTATATGTTAGAGTTGTTGAGTGTGAAAACTTGAAACTGAAATTCATTATTTTAAACAATTCTTCGTGGGCGAGCTGTGCGAGTGTGGATAGAATTTCTGTGCGAATGAATGAGAATATCAAAAGGTTAGTACTGCATTTGCATTTTGTTAATTTACTGCATAGAATTTGGAAATTTACTGCTAGTTATGGGGGAATTTTAAGTTACAAATTTTCATCATAATTAGATTTACTGCTTGTGGGGAAAATTTTAGAAATGAATTTACTGCATTGGTATTAAATTTATAAATTTATAAGTGTAAGAGATTAATAGAATTTTTGAAATCTGTTTGATGAAATTTGCGATTTTTATTTGTCTTTTGTGGTTTTTGTAGGTAATTGTCGGATGAAGGCTAAAAATCTAAAGAAAACATGGATAAAGTATGGTGAGTTTTTTAATATTTTAATTAGTTAGTAATATTCATTTAATTCATACTTACCTGTTAGTCGTCGGGGAAAAAACCGTGGGGGAAGATGTCGTGGATGAGATCGGAAGTTGTTAGTAGTTTAGCTAAGATGCGGATGATATTTTTAGTCTGAAGCAGTGGCCAAAGCAATTGAAGTGCCTTGATAGTGGTTAGTTCTTCAGTGCCAACTGCAAACTCATAAGGTGTGTTTTGGATTAGATTATATAATTTGTGATTGAATTTAGTGTTGTGGATGAATTCTAAAATTGGGATTTCTATAGGTTGTACAAACTCGTGCGGGATAAGGAAGGGTCGGGATTCTTCGGCGTTGAAGGTCTTGGTGATGGGACAGAAGATGTACATTTGGGTTATGGGATCATAATTGCGAAGAATACCATGAAGGTTAGTATCTTTAATGCAATATGTGAAATTTAGGAAAAATGGTGAAGTGTATTTGGAATTAATGAATTGAAAACGATGGTGTGGTTGTCTAGAGGGTGTGTGTAGGTCAAAGTGATTTTGGATGAAGCGATAATAACTATATGTGTGGGTTTGTTTAGTGCGCAACATAATATCGTGTGAGCAGTGTAAATCTCTTTCGTGTGGTGCAAGGAAATGAAAGGTTAGTGAAAATATTTGGAAGCGTTCTTTAAAACTTTCGTATGCTTGTGTGTCTGTTAGTGCTTCTGAAATAATGTGATCAAACTTTCGGTCAAAGATGTTTAGTGTAAATATATATGGTGTCTTGATGAAAAATTTCTCGGTAATTTGTGGATTAGCGAAGCGATCGTCGTCTAAGAATTGATCTTGGTTAGCTCTGATGATGTTGTGATCATAGTATTCGAGTGTATATTCGTTAGCTCTAGGTGCAGTGTGTGTTTTTAGTGATTTTTTATATCCAACGTAAGTAAATTGTCTAGCGGTTAGTGGTGTAGTGAGTCGATATAGCATGTCCGTATTTCGCTCTATATCGATGTGAGTGTTAGATAAAGGTAAGCAAAGAGGGTTAGTAAAATGATAATATGAGGTCCAAGAGAGAGTGGGCATTAAAACGTATTCATCTACAAAGTTGCGTGTTTCGTTAGTGTCGTGGGGGGTGTTTAAGGTGTATTGTGGGAATGAGGGTAAGGTGATGGCTAAAAATTCTTTTGTGTTAGTATGCTTGGGGTGGTTGATGTATTCACGGGCTGTTCCTGGTTTTGCTGGGAAAGGATGGTTGGGGAACTTTCTTTTAAAAGTGCGGTAAGCTCTATTAGTGTTGAGTGAAGATTCAGTTGATGTGGATGATGGTGCTAATGATTCAGTATAATTTGAAGAGGGTGTAGGGGTAGGGGGGTTGGATGAATTTATTGTGGAGGAGATTTGGTTTATTGTTGGGGTATGGAGGTGGTAGGGTTGTTGTTGAAGGGTAATAAAATTATCTAGCTCTGGGGAGATTCGGGGGGTGTCTGGAGAATGAGATGATTGGTCAGAATGAAATGAGGAGTAGGTTGGGGTAACTTGGGAAGCATAAGAGGGTGTGGAAGTGATTGGGTCAGGGTTATTGGATAATATGGGTTGAAAAGGGGGTTGAGAAAAATTAGAAGAGTTATGAAAATTATTGGATGGGGATGGTTCTGAGTCGGCAAATTCATCGGGGGTTTCAATATTCGGGTTATTGAGTTGTGAGATGGAATATAAAACTGAGATGTGTGAATTAGTGTCGGAATTCATGCCTGATGTTACATTACTAGATGGAAAATCGGGTGGCGGAAAAGCAAAAAGTGGTATTATTGGGATTGGAGAGGTAAGATTGGTTGGGTGGGAATTTGATCGGTGTAGTGATCCAAGTTGGCGGCTCATCGTGGGCTAAAAAAATGATTATTTTGAGACTGAAAAGCGGTGGTATGGGGTTGTTCAATAATTTGTTCATAAGTATTATGATCTTGTGACTGGTGTGTCATTATATGTTGGATGGGACTTTGTGATGTGGTGAGTCGAAAATTTGGATTATGTGTGATGGCTAAATTTCGAAAATTTCGTGGGACTAGGGATAGTGGATGGTTATTTGGTAGGGGTGGTAATTGTGGTGCCGTTGGCGTTATGTCTACATTGTTATGTTCTTCGTCGTATGTATTTTGTCGTGTTGCTATTTTTGTGTTATATTCTTTTATTTGTGCGTCTAAAAGAATTTTGTTTATAGATGTAGAAAAGATTCCAAAAAATCCTGCAAAGAGTATGCGTGCTACGCTTGCTTGTCTGTTTACTTGTGTGTGTATAGCACATGTGTTGTAGATTCCTTTTAAAAGTGAGAAAAGAAATCCAATAAAGTTAAACATTGCGTATAAAATAGTCAA